GTATATTCAAAAGTGCGAAGCTTCCCTGAAGTGGTCTTTTGTTGCCTGTCGCCGTGAGACGACATTACCACGGGAGTGTGAGTATGTAGGCTGAGTTGCTCTTCAGCTTCATCGCAATATAGGATAGGAATGGAAGGAGAAAAAAAAACGAGATAACGCTCATCATCAAATCCACTACAGCTATGTATTACAAGATAATAATCAATCAAGCTGAAAGTCGAGGAGATGGATATGGCGGACGAACGGTTGGACGGAAGGGTTTTCATGTCGAGTGATGGGTGTTGTGAAGCTGCATGATATCTGGACTCTTGATGGAATGATGAAACTTCAGGGGTGAATTTGATTCACCATTAAAAATCCTGACGATACTTCGAAGACAGGAATTAAAACGTAAAAAATTACCGGATTCTTGATACTCACTTTTCGTTCATTGCTAACAGATTCCCCTTTGGTAAGAAGAAGCGATTACACAGCGATTTTCATTTTAATTACTTGGACTGGCAGAACTCCAAGAATATTTCGAGTTCATCTTTGATCATCTGGGATTCATCACAATCATGACAATCTTGAACAGTCGTTCAGTTTTGGTGTCGTAAGTAAAAAATTGGTGCTGCTTCTCAGTAAGATACTTGAAGTGACGTTTAAATCCGTCCAAGGCTTCAACCAATACACGGCATTCAACTTGAATTTCACGAAGTTCAAAAGTTCCGTGCGAAGAGCATGGAAATCGGAAGTGGTCATCACAATAGGGGGAATCGTTTTCTTCTTGGCATTAAGCCGGGAAAGTTTACTAAAATTTTTCCTAGACGATAGATCATTCTCATAATCCGTGAGCAAATCAAATTGATTGCTCAAATTAATTTCATCAGAAGGGGGATCAAGAGATTGCCCTTTTCGTTTGCGCCTTGGCGCTATGGCGGCTGTTAAACTTTTATCCAAATCGACTTCCAAGCAGATTACTATAAGAATCTGAAGGATTGTACAGGAATTGTCCAAACAAGGATCCAAGAGGAATAAGAGACGTAAAAGGAACACACTTAGTTTTTTTCTACCGAGCTCGGCTGGGCAAAAATACGTTTCACTGAGATCTCAGCAAAAGTGACATTTGATTGCTGAGTCTCGGATAATTCTTAGCAGAATTTCAGCAAACAAATTAAATGTTTGCTGTGATCTCCGAGGGGGGCGACACATCTAAATCTCAATTTTAGATGCTCAATAAATCTTACAATAGCGAATTAATCTTCGAAAAATCTTCTTTCATTTCTCGCATCCACTTGCATCGCGCATCATCTTTTTGCAGGAAATCTTCAAAATCGTGATAAATCTTCTTTCTATCTACTCAGCGTACGCGCAGCTAGCCACAGCAAAACACAATATTTTATGCATCGTAGATAGAGTCGTCCCCCTCGGTGATCTCAGTAAAACTTTTTTTTTTGTTGAGATTTGCACAGCCGAGCTCAGTAGAAAAAGGTCTACCAGCGATTCAAATGCCCACCACATTATCTGGGGTACCTCGGATATTTATCCGAGAGGCTTTAGTTTGAATAAATACTGAATAGTAAAAATCTTGCAATTTTGAATACAGGGTATCTTCTAGAGAAGAAGTGCTAGACAGTACGCTCTGCGCAAATTGAATAAGCCATGAGCTGGATAGCTGGTATGTATCAGATAAGGAATCTGTATCTGATCATAAATACGTATAGTTTTAACACTTGTTTCTTCATATGCCTTGAGCTTTAGAAAACCAGTAATCTATATTCTGAGCTACTAGCAACCAAATACCATAGATACTCTCCTACTATATAAAATCCAAATGACTTGGATGACGCCGTTCGCTGTTATCACAACGTATTTTTTTAACATAATTGAAGCTTACAAGCGTAGCTTGCCCTTATCGGACACTCGCAGGAACCCGATGGGCTCTCGGAATATTTCCTCGACAACGGCCAACTCCTTCACTTGAATGAGTCACTGGAATGAGCCTAGGTTGGCTCAGCAGGAACTGGTATACTGTATGTTAATTCCCTTCGGTTGAAGGGACCCCTCGGAAACGCAGCGTAATAAATAGCTCGACTTGGATTAACTAGTTTTGGCTGTGCAACCCTCTGTTCTCAGCGGATGAACTGATGGAAATATTCGTCAACAATACCGGTGCTCATCGTAAGTGCCGTAATAAGTCCGAGCAGATCCAAATCCTCGGTAAGCTCATCATCCAGTATGGAGTCTTAACCGCTAACTATCGTGTCCTGGAATGTTTGCTCTATAAGAGCAAAAAAGATTGAGCTTGCCGACTTCCTTCGCAAGCACAGCATCGACATGGTCCAGCGACAACTTCTGGCTGCCTGACCACAACATTATCCGGCTTGATCGCACAAGGTCGTCGTCAAGAAAGGAATTAAGTTCTACACCCTGCCACACATCCGCACTTCTATCATCGAGGCTATTAGTGTGGAGGTCGGATCACCAACAGGAAATGTCCGGTTCATTGCTGTTTATTGCCCTCGGCAGTGTGCCGCCAACAACGGATTAGCAATGAATGCCCGTCATGAAGCTTGGTGAAACTACCAGCGGAACCGGAATGGATGTCTATTGTTCAACCACGCTCAACATGGACTGTAGTAGCTGAAGTCGACATCAACGTGGCTCCAGCTCCAAGCCGCTCAAAGACTACTACCTCGTCAACTGGGTGCAATTTGGACATGTAGTTGAAAGAGGCATCGACGAAGATCCGCCGCTTGACTCCGTACCGGGCGCTGGAAGGACTCCAACAGGTCATATTCGTGGCTGACGAGACATGTGCTCGACAAGTTCCTGTGAGGGATAAGTTTGAAGCTATTGATTCCCACACCCAATTACTGATTCGCTTGTGAATGTTCGTAGACGCCAGATTCATAGAACTGGAGATGTGGACAACAAACGTGAAATGGCCGATCTGAACAGGCAGATTGCTTCCAGAATGGACTCACTCCGAACTGTCCAGAATCTGGACGACCACTCCAGATCATTCTGGAAGGTAGCCAAGGTCCTGAAAACTCATCCCAAACCCAATCCACCTCTCAGAGTCAAAAATGATGACGAACGGCTTCTAACCACCCCACTGGAGAAAGCAAATGCGATCGGTGGACATGTCGCTTCATCGTATTTGCTTAGCTCGACTATCCAAAGTCGCGTTCAAAACCTAGATGTCTTCCCTTGTGTCGTGCGGATAAGATTACAGTACAACAAATTTGCTCAGCGCTGAAATGCACCAAGAACATGAAGGCTCCCGGGTTTGACGATATATTCAACTTGATCTTGAAGAGACTCAGCATGAAAGTGCAGTCTCTTCTAACCGCTATCTTCAACAGATGCTTGGAACTGCACCACTTTCCAAGCATCTGGAAGGTAGCAAAAATCATACCAATCCGCAAACCCGGTAAGGATCCAACATTGCCTTCAAGCTATAGACCGATACAACCTCCTTTCAGTCAATGTTTCCGTAGTGCCTGCTTCATATAGCCCAGTATATTTCGATGGGCCTTAGTTCCGGTGCGTTGGGGGGCTTCATGTCCTTGGCTTCGTACCACTCCAGGACAACATTTGAATAGTGGCATGAAGCTAGATCCGGCCAGAAGATTGCAGGGCCCTCGTGTTGCTTCAACAGAGGAAGCAGACGCTCTGTAGACACTCTTTGAGGTAGATCTACCCGTTTACATTCCCGGTAGTCACGAACGGCGCACTCAGTTTGCCACATGAGCAAATCGCTTGCCAAATCATGTATTTCTTAGCAAAATTTGAAAATTTCTGCTTTCTTACTTCCTCCGGAACATCAAACTTGTGCTGGGCGATGAAGAACAGTAGCCCCGGAAGCTGCCAAAAGTCCGCCTTGACGTAAGTCTCATAATCCATGATGAGATAATCAGGTTCCGTCAGCATATGGGTGTACAGTTTCCGGGCCCGTGACTTTCCCACCGTATTTTGCCGTTCATTACGATTTGGAGCCTTCTGCACTTTGTACACATACAGTCCCTTCCGGTCCTTGGCTCTCTGAACTAAAGACTTAGACAGATTCATCTTTTTGGTCACATCCCTGACCGTAGCATTGGGATTCAGCTTAAACGCTTTCACGACACGTTTGTGATCCTGACCGCTTTTCGCCTTCCGTTCGATGCTCCGAGATTCATAGTAACGTTCAATCACACGACTCACCGTTGACTGCACGATTCCGAGTTGTTTTCCGATATACCGATGAGAGAGATCAGGATTTTTCAGGTGCTTGCGCAAAATCAATGCGCGACGTTGCTTTTCGGGTGACGCCATTTTTTTCAACTTTCGAAAAGTTGACAGCGATAAAAATACAGTGTGAACAATACACTTTGAGCTACTTCTATCCAAATTTTCAAGAGAAAATACGCAATGAGTAATTTGTTACAGCATTTTTCCGTGATGAAATTTGATGTGGGACACCCTTTTGTTTGGATTCAGATTTCATATTATCGATATCGGATAATTTTATAAAATCTTGGCTTCAACGGTAAACAAGCTCTTTAGCCGAGCGATGTTTAGATTTAGATTTTTTAGAATGGAATTGTTAAACTAAATGTAAAAAATACATTCAACATGATCTCTGTCCAAGCTGCTCCTGGAATCGCAAATTATAACCAGCTTTCGAAAAACGATGCTGCCCGAAGAGGAAAAGACTTCAGAACAGCCTTCTGAATTTCCAGCGTCGTTTGCATTTTTATCCTCCTAGTATTAGGACCACACTGTACACACTCAATCTAGCTCGGTAAAATCTCCAACAGCTGATTAGCTCGGCATTTTCTGGTAGATTTACAAAATATTCGTTTGTTTGCTGTGATCTCAGCAAAATTCTAATTTGTTAGCTCAGTCTTGGCAATGATTTTACTGAGTCTCAGCAAAATAATTTGCAGAGCTGGTCAACTGTTGAAATATTGGTAATGCAAATTATGTGTGTAGTCTTCAGGATCCAGCAAAAACGTCGTTTGGTTATTACTATCCTAAATTTCCTCAAATACCGATATCTGCTCTTCCCTAGTTTGTACACTAGGGAGGGTCAATTTTATTTGGTGGATCACAACCGTCTGCTCCTCACAGCTCTTTCCATTCGTATCAACTGTGCCACATTTGAATGAATTCGGTTGCGATCTGGAATTGTGGGAGAGCATTAAAATATGAATGGGAAAATGAATGGGAAACGGAACGAAACTAAAGGGTGATACGGTCAAAATTTGGTCAAGGGAAAACGCGTGTAAATCGGTGAAATCGTTTATTTAAAAAATCAAATTAAATTTCTTTTTCAAGTTCAATTAGTATAAAATTCAGGAAAAATATTCAGTTAGGCTTCCGCTTTTCCAAATCCGAATTGCCGGGCCTTACGCTTGACCCCTGCCATCAGATTTTGTACAGCCACCTTGTCCACCTTCTTCGCCGCAGAAAGCCAGTTTGCCTTGAACTGCTGCTCGCCCTTAGCAGTTTTTTTGGTCTTCTTTAGGTTCCGCTTGACAATAGCCCAGTATTTCTCAATTGGGCGGAGCTCTGGCGTGTTGGGAGGGTTCTTGTCCTTGGGAATCACCTGCACGTTGTTGGCGGCGTACCACTCCATGGCCTTTTTACCGTAATGGCAAGATGCCAAATCCGGCCAAAACAGTACGGAACAACCGTGTTTCTTCAGGAAAGGCAGCAGACGTTTATTCAAACACTATTTCACGTAAATTTCTTGGTTGACAGTCCCGGAAGCTATGAAAGTGCTGCTTTTCAAGCCACAGGTACAGATGGCTTGCCAAACCAGATATTTCTTTGCGAACTTTGACAGTTTCATGTGCTTGAAAACATCTGCTACCTTTCCCCTTCCTTTTGCCGTATAAAACTCCTGTCCCGGAAGCTGCTTGTAGTCGGCTTTGACGTAGGTTTCGTCGTCCATTACCACGCAGTCAAACTTCGTCAGCATCGTCGTGTACAGCCTCCGGGATCGCGCTTTGGCCGTCGTATTTTGTTTATCATCGCGATTTGGAGTCACTACCTTCTTGTAAGTCGATAGTCCGGCTCGTTTTTTGGCTCGATGCACGGTTGTAGACGATACACCCAGCTTATTTGCGGCATCTCGGAGAGAGAGGTTAGGGTTTCGCTTGAAACTACCGACAACTCTCTTTGTCGTCTCAGCGGCTTCCGGTTTTTGATTTCCCCCCGATCCAGACTTCCTGGCTGTCGACAAACGTTCCCCAAACACTTTAATTACATTTGTAACGGTTGATTTGGCAACTTTTAGCGATTTTGCCAACTTTGCGTGCGAGTAGCTCGGATTTTCGCGATGCGCGAGCAAAATTTTGATACGCTACTCTTCTTGCTTGGACGGCATTTTGACAACTGAAGAGTGAATTCCAAAATCAAAATAGGAGCAACATTCTACACACACACACACCTTCAAAATGAGGGGTGTTCAGGTTTTTTAAATGCAAAATTGAAAGAAATACGTCAAGTTGATATTGACCAAATTTTGACCGTATCACCCTTTATTGATTTAATAAATTGCTCAATTTTCTCCAAACTTGGGACTCAGATTGCTAACGCTTTACAGAACAATTTCTTCCAAGACCGCAAATCGATTCGACTCCTGGACAAACAATTATTATATTTTTATCTTCGCCCTGGTGCTCTGCGCATACCTACAAGTGTATATGCACCCCAGTAGGTATGCGCGGAACACATGGCTAAACATTAAAAATAATAACGCATGGAGATGCGAATTTCATACAAAAATACAATAGGAGCTGAGCTTTGCTCTATACAAATCATGCAGAATTTAAATTCAATTCGATCTTCATGTCTCTACAAGTCCTCAGAACTTCTTCAAACTGCTCTGCTTTATAATAGTGGTCGACGAAATTAATTTGATTCGATTCACTATTTCGTATCTCAATCTCGCCTCTAGCGTAGCTAACAGCTGTATCCTGTTACCAAGATCAACCATCTTAAACGGAAATAAGATTCACATTCACAGTCGTTAACAAAGGAAAATCTCGTTCATATATTCCTACATTGCAGGCTGGAATCGTCTTTCATCCAACCAAGAAACCGACCAACCTATGAAGCAAATTATATCCTGTCATCGGATTCAAAGATTCCACTCCCTGGTGTCTTCGCTTTCTCACATATCCTCCTTATCCTACCGAACGAAGCAATGACAACGAACTAACAATTTAGCAACATTCTGTATGCCAGCTACGAGGCAATCCATTATCATATTATCCGATGGCATAAAATACCACCGTTTGTGGAGATAAACCCCTCTATTTAAGCAGCAATATGATACCGTTTAAGGAAACAGTTCCCATAGCTTGAATCGAGCCCAAGACGCTCTCCAGTTTCATGCGGTATATAAATGCTGCCACTAACGAAAGACACACATACGCAATCCAGCCGAGTCGAGCCGAGCAGATAATGAGACTAAACAAACATATAATAGTTCTGTAATGTGGCCGTAATCAAGCTCATATCTAATTTTCTGCTACACTGCATGCACAATCTAGTCGCTCGCTGGGGGAGGCTGCGGTTTGGTGCCGCCTTTCGGGTCAGGACATGTCGCTCTAGTTTCTAATGAGAGAGGGAGGGGGGGGGGTTGATTGTATGACAAAGGCGACACTATCACGTTCCCCGTCACCAACAACGGAGCCGCTGGATTTGAGGATTACGCAATTTTAAGCGATAGAAGCGTGCGCATGAACTGTCACGGCGATAGGTGGAAATATTGGATGAGTCAGTTGCAAACATGCCCACTAAGTCAATGAGTAACACGCTTGCTTTGAAACCTGATGGCTGCCGGTCTGTAGGCATCGTTGAATATTATCATAAAATTCATTAATTTTCCTGGAACAGAGACCCACTCTCGCCATGGATGCTCTTTGGCTATGGAGTGTAAAATCTGTGATGGCAGCTATCGTTTCGAACGGAATTAATTCTACCTCTAGAGATAGTTTGCATTCGTTATCATCAGGTCTGGTGGATCGTTTTAAACAAATCATCTGGTCCTGGGTATGTACTTGTGTGTGTGTGTTTTAAGTGGGAACATTATTTCGATAAGTGTTTCTGGTTAAGTGGTGTTATTATGGTCACCACCTTTAGAATTCCAAGTTGAATTATAGGAATAATTTTACTCCGGTTAGGATAGCTGGAACTCATTCCAATTTAGCACATTTTTACCCACAGCAATAAAAAAAATTCCAGCTTTACACCAATTGCCCAGAATCTAACCACAGCAATTCGTCTAGTTTTACAATCAAAATCCCCTCCGATGAACTAGCCTTCAGACCGATAATTGATTCCACGCACACGAAACACTCCCGCTCTTTTATGGATTATAAAGCTTCGATTTCATAGCTCCCGCCTGTTGACTCTCTATTTATGTTCTATCCGTTGGGAGTTGATATAGGGCAAACCGAGACGAATCAAACGACCGAACAACAAAAAAGTTATAGGTCGGAAAAAAAAATAATCGGAAATCTCCTATCCCAGCCAGTATCCAGCCAGCCAGGCACGGAGGTTATTCATACTGTTCCGCATTGCCGTGTATTGGTTGGAAAATGCCCTACAGCAACAACATCAACAACAGCAACAACAATAACTACAACACCAACAAGAGCAGCTGTTTTCATCGGAAAATAAATGCAACCTACCTACTTCGCCGATCAAACAGCCACCCACCAACCCATTCGACTACATACTGGAAGCTTCCCTTCGTCCTGATTGTTGCTGCTGCTGCTGCTGCTGTTGATCGTGTGTTTTTTTTTATTCTACCAACCAGAATGAAAGAGAGCGACGAGGTTATGTTGAAATATTAAGCCATTTATTTCCATTTATTCGGAATATACGGTTCGTGCTTTTTTATGTTTCCCGAAGTGCGCTTCACCGGCGACCGGGACCTATCGTCATCGTCGCTGGCAAGTCCTACCTTCCTACTGAAGGGTGAAAGCTGTGAGGCGGCCGGCGATGAAGTGGAAAGGTGCAGAGCTGTTCTCAACTTTCTGGTTCAGCTGTATTTTTGCTTTATTTTTTTTTCTGTTTCGACCGGCATCAAGAGATGGATTTTATAGGCTTATTTGTTTGCGATGATAGCGGTCAATTATTTATGGTTTGTTTGTCGATGTGCATTGGATTTTGACCTGGCGGGAAAATGTGAGACCGGAATCAACGGGTTTCGGTTCTCATCATTACGAACAAGGTGGATATTTTCAAGCAGATTTTGTTTAAAAAGTTTAACATCTTATTTTTATTGGTATTTTGTTTTGACCAAATGTTGTTTCATGTGGCAAGCATCGTTTTGAGTGATTTAAGATCTCAATTGAAATGAACCATTGTGGAGCAGTTCCAGGCCCCAGTGTTCTCATTTAGACCCACTTTTTTTTTTCTTTGTTTTGTTTTCCGTCGATCTTGTTTTCCGTGCTGAGCACCAATGCTACCGACGCCAGGGAGGCAGCTTCCACACCTGGACCCTACCTATCGACCCATCAACTCATGAACCGGGGACCAACGGCTTTACTTCCCTTCCGAAGGATCAGAAGTGATCAGAGATGTTATGCCTCAGAACATCCCGACGACGCCGACTGGGATTGAACCCAGGCCTGCTGGGGTGAGAGGTAATCACGCTTACCACTACACCACCGGCGCTGCTATTTAGACCCACTTCTTTATATTTTCTACATAAATGAAATTTCCTACATATTAAAAAAAAAAACAAACTACAAGCTACAGCCCTATGGGGTTGTACGCAATGGTGACGTAAGACTACGTGGTCTCATATAATAAATCTTATTTGTTAACTACAGCAGGAGCTTGTGTTTTGTGTAGGGATAGGAATTTGAGCGGGTATCTCTCTGTTTATACTCTTTTGTATGACGCGTTTGACATAGATGGCCCACAGCGACTCACGAAGAGCTACTGATTCCGATCAATAGCAGTGCGCCTTCTTCCTCCTTCTATGGTTGCTTATATGGGCTTTGCAGCTCGCTGCTTGCAGGCAGCCCTTCGTTGTGTACTGGAGAACAATGTCAAAGCCACGCGCCGAAAGCACTGCTGCTGCTGATGCCGACGACCAGTGATGCCACATTTTTTTGATTTTCAATCTGTATTTTCATCGCAAAAAATCTTTTTAA